AAAACTGTAGCATGTTTTTCTTTAGTACTACTACTTTAATACATTTTATTACCTGTTACAACAAGTTTGATTGTTATGGCATTTGGATTTACAAAGTAGATCAGCTGATTTGCACAAACAGATGTTCGTAGTACACTTTTTTTAACAGCTGCATTTTCTAAGTCCTTGTACCCCAACTAAAGAAATTTTTTTTTTTTTTTACTATTTCACATACACTTACTTCTTCTATACCAACTTCTTCAATGTTCAAAAAATTTTTCTTTACAAAAAATAAACTGCTTTCCTGTTTACAACGATTTTAATTTACCGAACTTACTATCAAAAACATAAAAACTCATCATCTTAAATATCTCTAATAACGGCTATTATTGATTTTGGATCCATTTTTGATCTATCAATATCAGGTACTTTTATTTTAACATTTTTCCAAAAGTATTTGTCCAAATGTAGGTTTTGGAAAGTTTTTAGTAGACACAGTCTTCATCTTCTTTGCCTGCTTCTGAAGTCCTTCCTTAACTGTCTCTCGAAACACTTTCACATTTTGAGTTTTCTTGATAATTGCACCCGTTGTGTCAGAGCATATATCTGGTTCTTTCATTTCAATTCAAACTTTAGTATCTGCTTCCATTGTTATGTCTGATTATTTTTCATATGCATTATTATTATCTTGCAATTCTAAATCAACTGTTGATTCGAGATTAGTTTTCCCATTTTCTGTATTAATCACACATTCATTAGTAATACATACTTATAACTTTTCTAAATCCTGTTCAGTGGTCATGTTACTAATCAAATTATGTGGCAAAACTGAGTTAGCAAGTCCTAGCTTCATAAGACAACTTTGCAGGACATCAGGATAGCTTCATTAAGATGAACATTTGAATCCTTCCTGATATGCTTTGTTTTTTATTTTTGAACAAATTTTAATCCTTCTGACCAATTTCCTATCTTATTTCTTTCCAACATGTTCTCAACATCTTGGTTCACCCGTTCGACAGAACTTTGTGACTGACTGTGTCTCGGTTTTCAGTGAGCTATTTTTATATCACTCCACATTTCACATAAACTGTTTATGATTTGATTTGGTTGCAAAATTCCCTCCTATTATCAGAGTGAAGAATGCTCAGGGATCCAAAAGCTATGAAAATATCCAGAAAGTGATATGCTACTTCAACAATTCTTTTACTGTGTAAACATCGGAGTAGGACAAATTGTGTAAGATGATCTTGATGCACTCAAATGAATTTCATATCATGATCAGTATTGGACTGCATATCTATTAGGTTGACTTGGCATCGAGAATTCATTTCACTATGCACAACTGATTTAATTACAATCCCATCTTTCACAGTTTTTTTGTTTCTTCTGACATAGGTTCGCATAGTCTTAAATATGTGAAAATAGGTTCTACTACTGTTACATTCTTGTACTTACGATTCAGTTCTTTAATCATGCAAGTTCTTTCACCATGGCCAATTGCAATATGAGTGCTGTGTTGAAGACTTCATCAGTTGTAACATAATATAGGATTTTTGCAAATAGTGATATTATAAGTTTGTCCTTTCCTCCAATTAGAATACGACAGCATTTCAACCTTCTGTAATGAACTGTTTGTTTCTCCTTCATCACATATTTCTCACTTGTTGAATAAAAGCAGTTATCAGGCTTATTTTTTACAAATTCAGACAAAATGTCATAATGTTTTTCCGCATAACATCACTCATTTCCCATCAGCAAAATAAAAAAAGCAAAGTATGTAAAAATGGAAACAAACTTCAGGGAAAGTGCAGAATCACCCCTGTTTAGCGCATTTCTCAAAATCGCCAACTTGAAAATAACAAGTCTAAGAATTGCACAAACTCAGTGTCCATGTAAACAACAACCTATTTTTGCTTAAAATAACATCAGAGAATTACACAAACTCGGCACTATGCACTCCCTTGACTTTGTCAATGTGAACATCGATAAGTGGGCGATTCTGCACTTGCGCCCAAACTTCTTCTTTTTTAGATCGTAGCTGCTTACATTTGTTTAAATTATGTCCAAGTTAGACTGCGAATGGTGCAAATAAGGAGAGGCAGGAACAGAAAAGTGTCATGACGGAATTTGTGTGCGGAGGCTTATTCAAGGTTGATTTAAATCCCTCGTTTCAGGATTTTACCAGAAGGCATTGGTAACTCCTCGGTTTTACCTCAAAGGCTGAAGTGGAATCATATTAAAGCATACTTCGAGCTTTTAACAAGCTACTTTGGTAAAAAGCTAGGTTTTACTGGTAAAACCTAGGATTTACCAGACTTTAGGATCTTACAGTAACATATCTCCATTCATACTGCGTATAATATTTTACTCGTAAAATGTATACGATTCTCTGATATTCTTATATATATTGATTCAAATAATGAATAAAACTTAAATGCAATAATGAAAAATATGTGCAAATGATTTTTTAAAAAGTACGTAGCTTTTTCATAATATTTATTAAATTATAAAATGAACAAATATAATTTTTTCACAATTTTTATTTATTAAATTATAAAATGAACAAATATCATTATTTCACAATTCACAAAATTACACATATATACAATAGTTAATATATATTATTAGTAATCTTCCTTTTACTTACTGTTTATTCCTAACCTACTTTTTTTTTTTTTTTTTCTTTATTACAGATACTTTAATAATCCCATTAAAATATTCTCGTGCTTTCATGAAAAGCAGTATTCAGCAGAATTACTAGATTTTATTTTAAATGATTTTATTTTAAATTAGATTTTATTTTAAATGATGTTACGATCATCAGTTATGTTATGATCATGTTATCAAAAACAGCAGTAAATATTAAAGAATATGAAGATTTAAAAATTATTAGAACACTGCTCGTATTTTGTTATACTTCTAACTCGGAAAAAAAAAATCTTCCGGATTCTACAATTCTGAAGTTTTAGTTACATGCTCCATTACATAACGCATTTGTAATCTAAGTTTGTTTTATTTGGTTATTAATGCAGTTATATGTAATCATGTCGAAACATTTATCAATACGTAATGGATGTAGTTACCAAATAATTTTTTGCCATCGGTGTTTGTTTACATCATGATATTAAGGATTTTCTATAAACTAAACTTCTCGAAATTCACATAAAAAAGTGGAAAACAGCCAATTATAGTAACCCAGACAAATAGTTTGTGACGTATTGTTGCCACCAGTCACGTGAGACCCGCTAACTTCCGTAAACCGTCAGCGTTTGTAGTCGCATAATTGTAACGGACTTTTTTGAACTCAACTCGTTGGTGCCATATAGCCTTACACAAAGTTAACATACAATTAAGTGGTGTTCGACCCGAAGGCCTTTACCACTACATGTTTATCATTCCCTTAAAGACCTGGAAAAGTTCGTTAAATTCCATAAAAATTTAAAATCCTGCGCACTTATAATAAAAGTGTAAATTCTTTAGCAGTGAAGTTGATCAGGGGTGACGCCATCTATTGGCCATGGATGAAGTCTTCGTTGGATAAGCAACTGCAAAGAAGTATGCAAAATTATGTAGCCAATTAGAAAATCTTAATAATTATATAAAAACATTCAATTATGTTCCACTACGCCTATTCTTACAGCTTCTATCTCTGCTTACTCCAATTTTCGAGTTACAATAGGTTATTTGAAATACTGTAATGTTCTTTACTGTTTATATTAAAATGTCGGTTTCTGTTGTACGTTTTTACCAAGACAGATAAATTAATTCTGATATTTGGCTTTACGGGCAGTGCAGGATTTTTACATAAGCTATAAAGTAGGGCTTTCACTTTCTTGGGGGCCCCCAAGATTATAATATAATATAAAAATAAACTTATAAAGGGCTCCCATATCTCAAATACCTTAGGGTCTCATCAAATTAAATCCGGCTCTGCCTAAAGTTTCTATCACAAGTCACATCATGCACTTCTCAAGCGTTGGATAAAACAAAAGTTGAATGAATTTTTCCTTGGTACGGCATTTTATATGATAACGAAAACACCCTTCTTTTTTCCGAGCGTAAAATTATGAAATTATGAACCTGTAAAAGTGTAAGCCGCATACAGAAAATTTACGTAATGTGAAGGATACATGCATGTTTTTTTTTAACGCCATTTATTTATTTTAAAAATTGCGAAATCAGACCTAAAGATAGTGCATTTTTTCCTTGATCTAAACTCGGGTTTTGCATGAGAAAAGTACTTGTGCTTGACGTCGGCAAGAGCGCGTCGTAACGGCTGCGGAGTGAGATACAACCAAGGAGGTTAGAACTCTTGGATACAACGGCTCTCAGAGCAAAGAATCCAAGGAAGTTAGAATAGAACGTTCTTTGTTGTTGTAGTCAGAGGTACTTGGTTTTAGCTATGTGAAATTCTTTTAAAGACTTTTTAAATGTAATGCTGTAAGTGAAATGGTTTTGACTATTGGGTGAAAACTTTGCTCTTGATTTTCATAATGGTTATTCAAAATAATTGTCTAAACGTTTTCATGGTAATTTGTTTTTAAAGTTGTTGTCGGATAATTATAATGTATTTCAGTGTTTTCAATTTATTTAGGGGTGCCTTTAATTTTCTTTAAATTATGTTTTTCTGTTTCAGTTAGTTATTGCAAATTTTGCTTTTAAAATTTCACTGTAAAATTTTAACTATGGATCCATAAAAATTTATTACGTTTTGTATGGCATGTGTTTTCCCCCCTTTTTAAGTTTACAGAAGAAAAGAATTAAGAAATTTATTTCATTTAAATTTTGTCTTCGTACGGCTCGCTGTTTAAATTGAAAGTAAAAATTGGACAGGATTTCTATAATTCGCCCCAAAATTCCAACTAACATCCTTTTGCTCAGAAAACTCCAGAAATGTATGAAAATAAAACATTTTGAGTTATTTCAAAGAAAAAATTTATTATCTCCTCGAACTGCGCTGTTTAAATTTCACCCTGCGCTGGTGTTTCACTCGGTACAGCGGCGCAGAGGCGAAACAGGTTTACATTGCGTCTATGGAAGCTTTCATTCTTCTCCGTAGAGATTCTTTGCTCAGAGGGAGGTGTTTGTTGAAGTGTAACGGGCCGACGTTGCGGAAGATGTTTGTAAATAAATGCAGTTTGAAATACCGAAATCTTTCCCTCTGCAATATAATTTATTCTAAGAATTTTGATTGAAGAAAATAGTTACCCAAAATGCTTTATATCATAATTGTTATTTAAAATACTAAACATAATTATTTTGAGAGAAATGCTTTAGAAAGATGAGTATCAAAGCGTTTGACTTAGTTCCTGCAATAGAGAGAGTTTGTTGGTCTGAGAAAGTCAAAACAGTGGTACATTAAGTTATCAGTTTTGCTTTTCCTGATGTATTTATATTGTGAATAACTGGTACTTTATTGTTTAACTTAAAACCTATAATTAAGTTGTTTAAAAAAGCGTTTATTGAATACTGTCTATAACTATGCCGCGATTAATTTATTGGAATATGCTTATTTGTTCAAAATTGAAAGTTAGCTTCTAAAATCATACTTATTGAATTCTTTAAAACTGTTCGTTAAAGAAATTAAATTCAGATTGTCTTGGAAGTTTTATAGAAATTGACTATGAACCAACATATATAAAACTTAAATTAAAGTGACCAGATATCCTGAATTTAAAAGCAACATCGCACTTCAGGAAATGTTTTATAAGATATTGTATATCTTGTAAACATTCCTAGATTTTTCATAAACAGATGACAGGACTTTTATTAGTGTCACGCTTTGTGATCTTGGAAATATTTCTCTGGGTATGTTTAATAGTAAAATAAATGCATTCTAAATTTTTGTATGTTTGTATATAAGTATTTTGAAAACTCGCTAAGTCTACAAAAAGAATAGTTCTAAAAGAATTTTTTGAATTTCTGTTCTTCAACAGTGTTTCATACTTAGAGAATATGCAATGCCATTAAATAATTTATAGAATTTTAAATAGGTTACCATTGTAAAAAATAGTGCAGGAAATTAAAATTTTTCAAGAAACTGTTTCATTGAAGATCTGATAAAAATTATTTCATGAAATATTATATTTAGAAAGATGTGTAACAACTGTAAAAGTAAACAGTTGTCTAAGTCCAAAACTGAAATCGAGTAAAACAAACAGGAAATTTTCCAACTTTTTTAACAATCTTGTGTTTTTGAAATATATAACATTAATTTATTTTACAAATTCAAAAGTAACTAAGCTGAACTTGTTATGAACAAATACAGCAATAGGACATGTGAGTAGATAATAAATACAGTAAAACTGATGGTGACGATTTCCTTGGATTATCACATCTAAAAATGATGATATTTCCAAGAACATTATAAATGTTGGTATTGAATATTACATAATATAATATTCTAAGGCAGCCATTTCTGAATGTAACTAACTACATTCGGAATTAAGCCGCCCAGGTGGTTTAGTAGTTAGGAGAGCCAACTGCGATACCAAAGGGCCTGTGTTCGAATCCCAGAGGTCAGTCCCGTCATAGAAGTCAAAGGTGACTTAAATAATAATAAATAATATTAAATAATAATAAATATTAAATAATAATATTAAATTAAACTTAAATAATAATAAATAATATAAAGGTGACTTAAATAATAATAAATAATATATTTAGTTTCTTTATTTACTCCCAGTTAGTCAAATATTGTAAATAGTGGTAGTATACCACTTCTGGCATTAACTGTGGTCAAGCCGAAGTTGGCTGAGAGCCCTGTACAATATTTGACTAACTGGGAGTAAATAAAGAAACTAAATATATTATGTTAATCATTGGATGTAATATGATTATGCTTCAAATAGAGGTTTTTAAAATTTTTTTTTGTCGACAAAATTGTTTTTTCCGTGACAGAAATCTGGTCACTTTAACTTACATGCATATTTATATATGCACACTGTGCAAAAAAAAAAAAGGGGGACAGTTATATAACTCTTGTCTAGCACAACTTAGGATATGTATTAGATTTATATATAGCGTTGTTCTAATTAATACAGGTATTTTGACAAAAAATCTGACATTTTTCTGAAATGACGTGACAATTTTTTTTCCATATTTTGATTCTGTGATTCAAATTATAGTTTAGTCGTTATTTTTACAAATTTTTACGAAAAGTTTTGTAAAAGTTTATTCGATTCTTCCTTTCATATTTTAAATTTTTTTAAAAAATTTTGAATTATAACCTATAAAAATTTCGGGTTAATCTTTGGATTATGGTAACTTGGCGATTTTTTGGCGAAAATTTGGCGACCAACCCTGCAACCGCAACCTGTTAGTTTTTGTTTGGACGCCATTTTGTTTTCATAGAGTAAAGGCATTTTTTTTTTTTTTTTTTTTTACTCAACATTTTTTTGCAACAATCTGCTAGCCGAATTACGCTTATGCTAGAACTTTTATGGAACAAAAGTGCTTAATCATGACGAAGATTAGGTGTGAAATTGGGAGAAGGTGCAGAATTGCAAACTGCTTGCTGCATTTTTAAGAATTGCACATACACGGTATCCATGTACACGTCGACCTATTTTCACTTAAAAAAAAATCCCAGAATTGCACAAAAATAACATTGCGCACACTCTTGACTTTATCCATGTACACTGCTAAACCTAGCTAGTAACCTTTATTGCCTTACCAAAATGTCTCCAAACTACCTGTTACCATATTCTAAAGATTAGCCAAATTTCGCATCATCTTAAAGTAGATGCCAAGCATACCTGCAAAAATTAATGTTTTATTCAAAATTTCTTAAAATATACGTGAATTTACATTTTGGCATGTTTTGAAATTTGCTGTATTCTTTATAAGCAATAATAAAGAAAATGTGGTTTACGCACTTTGTTAAAATTATTTGAAAGTATGAACAATGACTTTATTTCTGCTTGTGGACAATGAAGAAAAGAGAAAGGGAAGATGGTTTGCTATAAATTAAGAATTTCTCCAAGTGACTTATTTTTGGTGCAACTAAAAAAATTCGCCATGATAAATTTTTAAATTTCACACCAAAAATTACAAAATTTAATATCTAGGTATAATGAGTCATAGAATCGAAATATGGAAAAAAATTGGTATGTTATTTCAGAATAAGTCCGATTTTGTGTTTAAATACCTATTTTAAACAAAGTTATATATAAATCTAATATATATCCTAAGTTGCTCTTTCAAGACATGGAAAACTCAATTTGAATTTCGTCAACGGGCCCAGTAGAACAGGAGATATATAGAACTGTCCCATTGTTTTTTTGTGTGCAGTATACATGACCTCATTTATTATGTCAACAAGTCCTTTTTATGATTAAGAGTTGGAATTTCAGTTAAAAGTTTTTCAGGTATTTCTTAAGTATGTGTGTGCATTTAAAATATATGCATATATGTTTACATCCATCCATAAGTAAATGCATGTACAAAGTTTTCTGAATTTTCTTTCTGAATCCAATCCTGATAACAGAAGAGTACCCACTTTATATTTAACCTCATCATTTCACTCCTTATCTGTTTTTTTACCCCCTAATTTGCCAACTAGACTCTTTCCTCACAATAGAATTTCTTATTTCTAGGAAAATTCATCTTTTTATTATTTATGAACAAAACAATATCTGTGAGCGATAGAAGTAGCCAATTAACATAGTTGCCAATGAATTAGCAACTATTTGTAGGGTGCTGATAATCAGATAAGTTATTCATGCCGATTTTAAAATAAATATCAGTATAATTTAATGAAATATGAAAATTGTGCATTGTGCATACCTATGGAAAATTGTAAATAAATATGAATTAAGTATTTTTTATGTTACATATTTATGTAGTTCCACTTGTTTTGGTATAGATGAAGTCAATATATGTGAAACATTAATATAATAATACATGATAGAAATATCCAACTAACGCAAGACTCAGAAAGTTGCTGTAATAAGTTAGGGTAGGGATATAAAAATTATGCATTTGTTTTTTGTGTTCTTATATAAAACCAAAATAAATTATACTTCCATATTGTTATGGATGCTGTTATTTAAAAATGTTAACATATGTTTTAAACCATCACTTTACGGCCAGCAACTCTAATCATAATGACTTGATAAGTCTCTGCTCATCATAAACAGAGCTCTGAGTAAAATTTCCACTTTGGCATAGTCCGTTGACAGCAGGTCTAACAGATTTAAAACTGCAAGTTTAGGAGTTGCCTGGTGGAAGTCCTTAGGGAAGAAAGAGAAAATGTTTTTGATGCTGTATTTTAAAGCCAGCTTGGAAGTATTGATCCACAAAACGTATGTGTGAAGTAAACATGTTTGTTATTCAAGTTCTTAAATTTTTTTTCATTAAAACTTGCCATTTAACTTGGCTTTGTTTAAATAATGGTGCTTTAATGATTAGGAAGCATGAAATAAGTTTTGTAGTTTCACAGACATTATGTTTATGATAATATATTTCTCTACTTTGTGTTATGCATAAGTATGTCTGCATATTTTACAGATAGAATGCTTGGAAAGTTGTGGGAAGAATCTATTTGTTGGAACTCAAGAATGGTTTGTGATTTTGCTTGAATTATGAATTTAGGACGGTTAAATCTGAAAAATATAGTGTTTTTTTTTAGTTCTGGTTCTGTGTTTTTTTTTTTTTTTTAGTTCTGGAGTCATTAATCATCTTTTGTAGGTTGATTGCCGGGTGACTGAGTTTTTGAAATTTTCAAATTTTAATTGATGTTAGGTTTTATTAAATATTCTTTTTCTAAATATTAAAATTTTTGTTATTGGGTGTACAAATAAGTTTTGAGGGATTTACTAAGATGGCATTACTGGTATAAAATCCTATCAGACAATCTTGTAACTATAATTGTGTTAAAGTGCCAGCATTTCCGTCTAAAAATCAGTCCGTTTCATTTCGAAGTGTAAACTATAAACTTTCTTTTTGCTCAACTCATGTCAGCCTTTGTACCAACAAAGCAAAACTTGTTGGATGCGCTTTTTTTTTTGTTTTAATATGAAGAAAAGTGTAGCTCTTGGACATCGATTGCTGTGTGAAGCATATGGGGAACATGCTCCATCAGTAAAAACATGTGACCCATGAAGTTTGAAGATGCTGAGTTGGAGAGGTTATTGGACTTTAAGATTCATGCTTCATTCATTCACCTTGAGGAGCTTCCCCAAACCTTGGGAGTTACTCAAAAAGCAATTTCAAAGCATCTCAAGACCATGAGTTTGGTGCAAAAACAAGGAAATTAGGTTCCTTATGAACTCAAGCCAAAGAGATGTCAAACGGCATTTTTTTCATGTGCGAACAACTGCTCCAAAGGCAAAATCGAAAGGGGTTTTTGCATCGAATCGTGACATGGGACAAAAAGGGAACAAGAAATGGGGTAAGCCCGGCCATGCATAAAAAAAAAAAAAAAAAAAAAAAAAAAATCTTTAACAGCCAAACTGAATACTCATGGCAAGAAGCCTATGCTATGCATCTGGTGGGATCAGCTTGTAGTGATCTATTATGAGCCTTATGAAACCATCACTGGGGAATGTTACAAACAACGTTTGATGCAACTGTGTCGAGTATTGAAGCTCAGACACGTTCAGTATGCCAAAAGACATGACAAAGTGATTTTTCAGCAGGACAACGCTAGCCTACATGCTGCAAAAGTTGTCAAGGGAATTTTGGAGGCGCTTCAATGGGATGTCCTACCCTACCTGCCGTATTCACCAGACATTCCTTTTTAGGATTTCCACTTGTTTCGGTATATGACTTATAACTTATCCAAGCTGCACTTCACTTCATAAAAGAAGCCAAAAATTGGGTCAGTTCTTGGATTGCTCGAAAAGATTAGGAATATTTTAAACACACAATCGTATGCTACATGAGAGATAAGAGAAAAGGGGAAGCTAATAATGGCAGTACTTAGTATAAAAAAATTTTTCCAATTTCTCTGAATAAAGCTTTAAAGCTGGAAAAAAATGATAAACTTATTTGTACATCCAATATTTATTGTATAAAAATAAATATTGGTTGGTGCAATTAAACAAATAAATTATTGAAAATTCAATATAATTAAAAAATTTTCTTAAAATTTATTGAAAGGGGGGGTGAAAAACTTTGCTAAACTATTCATGTATAAATTTTCTAAATAAATAGCTGAGTAAATTAATTATATGATAAATATCAATTTGAAAATTTTCAGCTGAACTAACAATTTTCTATGGTTTTTTTAAAAATTGTAATTGCAAATCTAATACCTGATGTAAATAATAAAATGTTTGCTATTCATTTAATACTACAGTACAAAGTCCGTAATCCGGACTCGTCGGGATTTAGGCGATTCCGCATTGGGTTTTTCCCAATCCGGATTATGTCAAAAAGAGTTTCCGATTCTGGATCTGCCAAAGGATCTACAAAGCGAAAGCATGTTTTGATGTCCATCAAACCAAAAGTGGAATTGCTGCAAAAAATGGATAAAGGCATATCTGTCTCAAAATTATGCGAGGAGTATAACATTGGAAAATCAACTGTATATGACATAAGCAAAAAGAAAAAGGAACTTTTTGAAATTTTTGTGGATTCCAACACCCCACCTGCAATGAATAACAGAAAAAGGGTTCGTTATGCTAAAAGTGACAATCAGGACAAAGTGATGATTGAATAGGTCAGACAGAGGGTTCCATTGATGGGTCCAATGCTAATGGCTCAAGCCAAAACAGAGAGTGCACATATTCGACAGGTTAGTTTATCAAATTTAAAAATCGCCATGGTATAAGACAATTAAAAATTCCAGCTGAAAAAGCTTCAGCTAATACTGAAGCTGCTGAAAAATTTACAGATGAATTCATTGAACTCATTACTATGAACAATTACCTCCAGAACAAATTTAACAACGCTGATGAAACTGATCTTTCTTATAAAATGTACCGTGAAATACCTTGGCAACCTCTACAGAAAGGCTCCAACTGGTGTCAAAGATTCCAAAGCGAGACTACAATTTTAGCGGTGCAATGCTGCAGGAACGCACAATGCCAACTTTTCATAATCAGAAAACATGCACGACCTTGAGCATTTAAAGGAGTAACGATGTTTGCCTGTTATATATCACACAAATAAAAGAGCATGGATGACACATAGCGCTAATGAATGAAATTGGTATTGAAAATCATTTTATACCCAAGGCTCGGCGAACATTTGAAATTCGGTTGGTTTACCTGATGACTTAAAAACAGTCCTGATTGTAGATAACTGTTTGACTGCATACTTCACTTATAAGTTTTAGTGAAAGATAATGTATCCCTATTATTCTTCCCTCCAAATTGTACGTGTATCTGTCATTCAGCCTATGGATATCGGGAATAGTGTGTGTGCTGAAATGTAAATATAAAGTAGCATTTTTAAAATCTCTGTTAAATTTCTTGAACAGTGGCAAGACTATTCGAGACATTTTGAAATTTTTTAGCATAAAATCTGCTGTGTGGAGCATCGCAAGATCATGGGAGGATGTGTATCTCCAGATATGTTAAAAAATGCTTGGCATAATTTATGGCCAGCTACCATATTTAATGGTGAGGACGATGAAGATGATAGCTGCGGATTTGAAGGTTTTCGGACACCTTTCTATGTTTTAATTTTCTAAATGTACTACAACTTCATACGTACATTTTTTTTTTTTTTTTTTTTTTACAGAAAAAACCTATTACTGTACTGAGAGCTTTATCTGCTTTAAATCGGATCTTACCAAAGGTGAAATTTTCCAGTTATTGGATCTTGTAAAAAAATGTGGAGAAGCGGTAATAAATGAAGATGATATTTTTCATTATGATGACAATGCCCCAATCATCTATCAATTAACGGATGGCGGAATCTGTAGTATGGTTCTAGATCCAGAAAATACTGCTTCCGATAGTGAAGAAAGTGAAAGAGAGGTTACTGAAAACGAAAAAATTTCGATTGGCAAGTTAGTCGGTATTCTCGACACAACAATTACGGGACTTGAACAACAGAACTTTGTAACTGAACAAGAAATTATGTCTGTTTATAGAATTAAAGAGAAAGTATTATCACAGAAAACGAAGCAACTTGAACAACTTACATTGAAAGAAATGTTTAATAAAATAAAGAAATAAATATTAAGCTTTTTTTTTTTTTTGTAAATTTTGATACCCTTTAGATTATACCTGCTCTTTATTTCATAAATTACGGTTTCATATTTTTAATTTTATATTTTCTGCATGCCATTTTACCAGATTTAAATTGATAATGTATAATCTGGAAAAATCCCTAATCCGGAATCGCCGAAGTCCCGGCGAGTCCGGATTAAAGACTTTGTACTGTACAGTCAAAAGTCGTTAATTCGGACACCCATAATCCGGAATGATCTATAATCCGGACCTCAAAGCTAAAAACTTTCTGCGCATGCGCCGCATTGGCACATGCGCACATGCGTTTTACGCGTGTGCGTAAGACCTTGACTACTGTGCATATGCGTGTGCGCAAGTGCAGAATACCTTTTCGCCTGCGCGTTTAATGTATAACGGACGGTGTAAGCTAAAATTATCTAATTATCTATTTCAGTTAATGTTAATGAATGCATTGTTCCTTAATCTTCGAATTGGATCCCGCTTATTATTTTTTGCAGACTGTAAGAGTAATTTTATAAAAGTAAACTTGAACTTTCGATTATGTCAAATATGACAAATAGAATTTCTGATGCTGGAACTTCCAAAGGATCTACAAAACGAAAGTATGTTTCGATGTCCAACAAACAAAAAGTGGAGTTGCTGAAAAAATGGATAAAGACATGACGAATGTGACAGAGAGGTTAGTGAAAACGAAAAAATTTCGATTGACAAGTTATTAATCGGTATTCTCGGCACAGCAATTAACGGGACCTTGAACAGCAGAACTTTGTAACTGAACAAGAAATTATGTCTGTTTATAGAATTAAAGAGAAAGTATGATCACATAAAACGAAGCAACTTAAACAACTTACATTGACAGAAATGTTTAATAAATTAAACAAATAAAATATTAAGCTTTTTTTTTTTTGTAAATTTTGATACCCTTTAGATCATAATTGTTCTTTATTTCATAAATTACGATTTCATATTTTTAATTTTAGAATTTCTGCATGCCATATTACGAGATTTAAACTGATGATCTATAATCTGGAAAAATCGATAATCCGGAATCGCCGAAGTCCCGACGAGTCCGGATTAACGACTTTTGACTGTAATATGTAATGTCTGGGTTAAAATGTCTTTATCAAAATTTAGCATTACTTCTTTGATTATCTATGATGTCATTTAGATAAATGATCGTAGGCATGTTTATAGTACTGTTTATTTCATTAATGAATTTATAGAATTTAATTTGTATATTTCAGACAGTTTTGTATGTGTATGCGTATTGAATTTTTACCTTATTTTTTCTTTTAGTTTTATTATTCATTACATTTTGGAAGAAAAACATCACATCGAAGGAACTGTAATATTTGAACCAACAAAACAAAACCAGAAATATTTTGACTATGTGAGTATTTTTTCTACCTAAATTTATGTCATTTCTCCTATTTATTCACCTTTCTATGTTTTAATTTTCTAAATGTACTACAACTTCATACGTACATATTTTTTTTTTTTTTATTTACAGAAAAAACCTATTACTGTACTGAGAGCTTTATCTGCTTTAAATCGGATCTTACTTCTATGTGATGGGAATCTTGTGGTGCTCAATATGTTTGATCTGGAGGTGAGCGGTATGGTAAAAATATATTTCAGGGTACCCTTTCAGGGCCATTTAAACCTTCATTTTACACGCCAGTCAATCAATGTTTTCTTTCCCATTAGTTCCAAAGTGTACAGAAACTACAGGTTAATCATACCACCAGCAGGCATAATGGTGTAAAACACCAGATAAGCAACATACTTCGTAACCAACATCCAACACATAAATAAGCCCTTAAAAATATTTTCCCAACTGTCAAAGTCACCACAATTACACATTGCAACCAATCACATCATAATAGGGTTTCCATAACATTCAGCTGCTCAAGTTACCATAAACGAAGCAACAACTTTGGTGATAATCCAAGGGGTACTCTAAAATATAAATTAGCCAGCAGTATTTCTTAGTAAATTTATTATGTAATGTTAAGCTGAATTTTTCTTTTCAAATTTAATTTGTTTTTATTGTTTTGGCTACAAATTTGAGTAAGCTCTGATTAACCACCAAACCATCTTGTAAAGCCGTGAGTCATTGGTGGCTAATTTTTTGCTAGTCTAATACATGAAACACAGTAACCATTTTAAAAAATGGTGGCACACTGAAAATTGCATTAAACAACAATGAATTAATGAAATTAAAATCCGTAGTGAAATGCTGAAAATTACATGAAACAACAAAAATTAACAAAATTAAAAATGCAACAAACTTTCATAGTAAAACACTTTACATTTTTTTTTTTCCAGTCTTCTGCCGATGTGTACAGTGATCTGTTTTAACTTAAAAAAGGGGGGGGGGGAGAAATTCTAAAGTTTCAGATTTTAAATTACGTCCAAGGGGACTTTTTTTTTTTTTAACATTTGTGTGTTACCTTTATTTATTAAATATCATGTTCTTCGCACTTAAACCATAAAATTCAGTTCAAGAGCAATATCACAAAATAATTTTAAATTGAGCATATCTTTAGAATTTCTGATACACACTCTCATGCGGAGATAAAAATATTTTTTCTCTACAACATTGCCATTGCTCGCTTTGAAATCGTTGAGTTTGTTAATCAAAAATTCATTAAAGTGTTACAAAATATGAAATCGATAATAAAACAAATTTCAAATTTGGGCTTCTAGATGCCCATATTCGCAGTAGGATTACATCATTCAAAATTTGATGGCTCTAGGTACCGTTGTTTTATCACAATGCGAGAAACATACATACATTTATTCAGATTATTCATTACTTGATTTCTTCAAATATAATACAGGGCGATAATATTTGGTGGCAAGAGTCCGAAAAGTGAAACGGACATTCAGAGTGATTGCAGAATTCTCAGCATTACAGAGTAACTGGATACTGGGGTCCATGTACATATCGACCTGTTTTTACCTGAAAAAAAATCAGAGAATTGAAGGAAAAGCTATCAACACAAAAATAAACCAGAGCACTTATTCGTGAAAAGGTATCATCACAGTCATCTAAGAAAAGCTGATAAAGAAACATCCACAAGGAAACATTAGCGATAAGAAACATTGATAATGAAACACTGAAAATTATACAAAACACCAACAAATATACAAAATAAAAATTTTTTTGGCACAATAATAATAACATAATAAAACATTTTCCTTCCCCCCCTACATTCTTTATTACTCGGCAAAACACAATATTTCTGAAAAAAGGCAGTACTTTCTTTTTCATTAGCAGACAAACTCCACAGTGACTATACAATTCATTACATGAAAAAAACAAAATTACACACTAACCACAACAAGCAGAAACCAGAAGATGTCCTTTGAATTTTGAAACTGCAGCTGCGTGCCTCACATGCTGATATTATGTGCACACAATCATTCATATGTTGCCAGATAAATACATTTTAATAAAGTTCTGGGTTGCTTTCTTTGGCAGCATAGCGCTTCTTTGTCTGGTGATTCTTGTTAGGGCTGGGTGGTTAATCAGAGAGTACCGAAGTTTGTAATAAATAAAAAATGTGGAATATATTTTTTGTATTAACTCTTGTTCTAAATTAAATTCAATTATTTCAAGTAATAATTTTTTAGCAGTTTTGTAATAAGCTGGAAGTTTTATTTATGTGTAAAACTAATTCAAATATTATTTTCTTTTCTTCTTCTTCTTTTTTTTTTTTTTTTGTTTTTTTTACTATCCCCTCCCTGCAGAAGGGTCACAAAAAGTGTTGATGAATCAATGCACTATGTTGTCAAAAAACATTTATTTGGCAACTCACACTGTCGCTCAGAAGCACTAATGCGCCAACTGAGATGTGGGTGTAGCATTTTGCCAGTCGGCTTCCAACTTCTTTGGACACCTTTCCTAGTGTGACTGCAGATTATGATACTTTCTATGGAAATTTCATTATTTTAGCATAACACTAGAGAACATGCTGTAGTTTTTATCATCTTTCGCGAAATTTCAGACTTAGCATTGTGTGCACATGGAATATAATGTAGCTTAGAGACATCATACATTTTTTCTTCCCTTCTCATTTTAGGATTTTGATGCTGTGTTTGTGCATGAATTGTGTGTGATGTTATTTTTCAAAGTTCTCTGATTTAGAAAAAAAAATGGATTGGTGTGGACATGGGGAGAACAAAGTCCAAAAACCGATAAGTGTACATGTATCGCAAGGAAAAAAAAAAGTAGCAGTATTGGATGCATTGGGCTAAAGTAGATGAAAAGGTTTTCCTTTCCAAGGTTGGCAATGAGTTCATGATTTTTTGAGTGGGGTCTAGATGATTAGAAAGTACCATAATTTCTAGTACAGTACAAAGTTTATAATCCGGACTCGTCAGGACTTTGGCGATTCCGGATTAGGGGTTTTCCGGATTATAGATCATGAATTCAAATCTGGTAAGATGGCATACAGAAATTATACAATTAAAAATATGAAACCGTAATTTATGAAATAAAGAGCAATTACGATGTAAAGAGTATCAAAATTTACAAAAGGAAATCTTAATATTTATTTGTTTACATTATTAAACATTTCTTTCAATGTAAGTTGTTTAAGTAGCTTCGTTTTTTGTGCTAATACCTTCTCTTTAATTCTATAAACAGACATAATTTCTTGTTCAGTTGAAAAGTTCCACTGTTCAAGTCCTGTAATTGCTGTAATTGCTAACTTGTCAATCGAAATTTTTTCATTTTCAATAACCTCTCTGTCACTTTCTTCACTATCGGAAGCGGTATTTTCTGTATCTAGAACCATTCTACAGATTTCGCCATCCATTAATTGAGTGATGATTGGGGCATTGTCGTCGCAATGAAAAACTTCTGTTATATCATCTTCATTTATTACTGCTTCTCCGTATTTCTTTACAAAATTCAATAACTGGAAAATTTCACTTTTAGTTTGCGATGTCCGAAAACCTTCAAATTCGAGGCTATCATCTTCATCGTCTTCACCATGAAATATGGTAGCTGGCCATAAGTTATGCCAAGCATTTTTTAATGTATCAGGAGACACATCCTCCCACGATCTTGCGATGCTCCATACAGCAGATTTTATGCTAAAAAATTTCAAAAAGTCTTGAATAGTCTAGCCATTGTTCAAGAAATTCAACATAGATTTTAAAAATGCTACTTTATATTTGCATTTCAGCGCATGCACTATTCCCATATCCATAGGCTGAATGATAGATGTACAATTTGGAGGAAAGAATAATATGGATACATTTTCTTTCACTAAAACTTTAAGTGAAGTATGCAGTAAACAGTTGTCAGCAACCAGGACTATTTTTGAGTCATCAGACTAACCAACTGAAGTCAAATGTTGCCGAGCTTTGGGTATAAAATGATTTTCATACCAATCATTCATCAACTATTGTCATCCATGCTATTTTATTTGCGCTATATATAATGGGGAACATCGTTACTCCTTTAAATGCTCGAGGTCGTGCATTTCCGATTACGAAAAGTTGGCACTTGTGCGTTCCTGCAGCATTTGCACACGCTAAAATTGTTAGTCTCGCTTTGGAATTTTTGACACCAGTTGGAGCCTTTTCTGTAGAGGTTGCCAAGGTATTTCACGGTACATTTTATAAGAAAGGATCAGTTTCATCAGCGTTGTAAATTTGTTCTGGAGATAATTGTTCACTAGTAATGAGTTCAATGAATTCATCTGTAAATTGTTCAGCAGCTTCAGTATTAGCTGAAGCTTTTTCAGCTGGAATTTTTAATTGTCTTATACCATGGCGATTTTTAAATTTGATTAACTAACCTGTCGAATATGTGCACTCTCTGTTTAAGTTCATTTCTGCATGAAATATTTTTTGGCTTATTAGCATTGGACGCATCAGTGGCATGCCCTCACTGCGACGCTGTCTGACCCATTCAATCATCACTTTGTCATGATCGTCACTTTTAGCATAACAAACCCTTTTTCTGTTATTCATTGCAGGTGGGGTGTTGGAATGCACAAAAATTTCAAAAAGTTCCTTTTTCATTTTGCTTATGTCATATACAGTTGATTTTCCAATGTTATACTCATTGCCTTTATCCATTTTTTGCAGCAATTACACTTTTTGTTTAATGGACTTCGAAACATGCTTTTGCTATGTAGATCCTTCGGCAGCTCCAGAATCGGAAACTCTTTTTGACATAATCAAAAGTTCAATCTTACTTTTTATAAAATTGCTCTTAACAGTCTGCGAAAAATAATAAGCCGGATCCAATTAGAAGATTAAGGAACAACAGTGCAATGTGTAACATTAACGAAAATGCCTTAGAATCAGTAAAGATAAATTTAGCCTAGCTTATACCATCCGTTGTACATTAAACGCGCATGCTTAAAGCATACAAAAAAAAAAAAAAAAAAATGTTTGTGGCTTTAAAGTCCGGATTATAGATCATTCCAGATAATGGACGTCCAGATTACAGACTTTGTACTGTATATGAATTTGATTAAAAATTTCATTGTGATTGCTAAATTTCTTAAATATATAGAAAATTTAAAGGCTAGTGAAAAATGTGTCTTCATTGCATTTTTAAAACTGCTATCATGTATATCTGTT